TCAAAGTTTCAAACAAGTTGACTTTGGCACTGCTTCCTTTACAGTACCAAATTAATTGGAATTTTATTTAGTCAAAGTTAATGTGAGCGTCTTGTATGACTGGTATGTGTAGTAAATTGGAATCAGGATGAGACTCCAAGGCTCATGATTATCTTAAAGGATGTGAAGGATGTGTCACTTTCATCTTCAAATGACTGACATTGCAACAGTGAACAAAAGTATATTTTCAGTCAATTGAGGCAAAGTGAATGGGGGAATTGAAAATACCCACTGTCCATCTGTGCGTTCATGTTGTGAGCACGATAAATTGAAAAATAAATGGGTTATGGTCTTCCATTTTGGTGTGTGGCTACATCTAGGTGTAAAAAAGCTCCCTATCGCAAATTGGGTTGCCGCATCAAAATCCAAGATGCTGGCTGCCGTATATATGTTTGTCTATCTTGTCGGTGGGATAACTTGAAAAATAAGGAATGTGCTGACAAATTTTGGTGTGTCGCTGCATTTAGGGGTATTTCCATTTACCCTTTATTTAGACAGATAGTCTCATTGAGTCACGAGAACTCATTTTCAAGAGAGATCTGTTTTTGGGAGCAAATGGTAGGGATTAAGAGCCCTGCTCAAGGGCCCAGGGTGGGGCAGATGAGGATGGAGGCCGATGTGGGTGTTTCACTTTTTCCACCCACATTTTGATGTTGACCATACCGGGAGTTGAACCTGCGACTTTCCGATCATAGGCCCGTCTTCTCTAACCTCTGTACCACCACTCCCTCAAGAAAGCAAGGTCACTATCAAAGATTGGGTTGCCAAGTCAAAATTCAAGATGTGCTTCACCAAATATAAATGTACACCGACCACCCCACTTATTTGAGAAAACTATGTAATTTTTATAATGTTAATAATAAGTGCTATGTGTTGTCATCAGCAAAATTAGTTCTCTGCATTCAACCCATCTCACCTGGTTTACACCCAGGTGGAGCAGTGGTCAGCTATATATGCGCTCGGTGAGCAATTGGGGATTAGGTGTCTTGCTCGGAGACAACAAGACGTGGGAATGGCTGGGGATCGAACCTGGGGCTTTCGGGTCCCAGGTCGGCTGCCCTACCTCTACCCAATCTCGGCCGTCTTAAGTAGCCTCTTCAAATGATTGGGGTTGCTGACAATTAATCTACTATCTCATCTAGCCACCATTGTACTTGGTTGTGAATAGAAGTTTTCCCTTCACTTGCTTGGATTCGCCACTCTGCGCTGTCTCACACTTCTTCTTTTGGCTTTTTCTCTCTTCAGGGTCTCCACAGTGAGTCCTCCTCCTCCATCTCACTCTGTCCTCACTCCAACTTCCTCCATGTCCTCTCTAACTGCATCCATATATCTCCTCTTTGTCTTTTTCCTGGCAGCTGCATCTCTAACATCCTTCTACCAATATTTTCTTTTTTTTTTTTTTTTTTTCATTTAGCCTTTATTTATCCAGGTTAGTCTCATTGAGACACGAGAACTCATTTTCAAGAGAGACCTGTTTAGGGAGCACATGGTGGGGTTAAGGGCCTTACTCATGGGCCCAGAGTGGGGCGAATGAGGGTGGGGGCAAGTGTGGGTGTTTCACCTACCCCACCCACAATTTTGATGTTGTCGGGGCCGGGGCGTGAACCGGCGATCTTCGGATCACAGGCCCACCTCTCTAACCTCTGCGCCACCACTCCCCAAAATGTACCCACTGTCCCTCCTCTGGACATGTCCAAACCATCTCAGTCCAGCCTCTCTAACTTTATCTTCCAGTCCTTCAACCTGTGCTGTACCTCTGATGACACTCTTTGCCTTTACTACATTATTTGCTAACTCCTCCTTCAGGACCACCCCATTCTCCATTGCTCTTTCTATCCACACCATGATAAAACCGATTAAAACCTGCCCCAATGCTGAGAGCCCTACTGCCCTTCCACTTGGTCTCTTGGACACAAAACATTTAGCTTCCCTCTCTTCATAAGTCAGCCAGCTCTCTGCCTTTGCCTGTCATTGTACCCACATTTAGACTTGCCACCCTTAATCCTACATTCTTGACTTTCCTCTTCTTTCTGTGTCTCCAGACATGCTTCTCTACTCGTGGTCTTTGAATAACATTAACACAATTTCCGCCGGCAGCCTGTTTGTCAACAGCACCAGTTGTGGTCGTTGTTAGTTTGTTAATTTTGGCCTTGACCAATCTGGTATGGTGTTGCTTTGATGAACTTGTGTATTAGTTTTGGCTAAAGTGTTTTACATCAGATGCACTTCTTGACACAACCCTCACCATTTACCTTGGCTTGGGACCGGCACAAGGGATACACTGGCTTGTGCTCCCAGTGGCTGATTTCCATGCTGTCTCAGACAAGCAAAATAAATAAATAAATAAATAAAACTTACTCTTCTTATATATAGTGTAACTCCTACCCACTTGAATGTCCTGTATTAGAAACACTAAGGTTTACTTGCATTCCCTGTTCATTTCCAGTCCAGAAAAACACTCCTCAAAAACTGTAGACACTAAATATAAATCCCTCAGTGATGGGGCACATCGGCATACCACTTAAGTGTTTTTTTTTTTTTTTTAGTATTGTTTACATTAATATGGTGTCTGTAAAAGATTGATCTATAAAACTGGAATTTCTATGACTGCATTTTGTTTATTCTCCCCCCACCCTCACCCCAAGTCCAGATCTTTGTAAACTGTCCTTTCCCATTGCTTCAGGCTGTGGGGGACAGTGAGTCTGTCAAGGCCAGCTGGTTTAACAGCTCTATAAATAGCTGGTGATGACCTCCATATTCACACAACTAGAATAACTGAGAAAAGAACTGAGACAAACCCAGTCAGAGCAGAACAGGGCGGACACAGATTTTCTGTCTCTAAATCCAGTCATCAGACAGCAACTATGGGTGACCCAGCAGCCTCAGCAGAGTCCGCCACCCTTCTTGTTGACACACCGATACCTTCAGTGATGACAGGAGGACTGCAAGGTGAGGAACTGGTCCAAGATCCACTGAGTAGGCAGCATGAAGGTCATTGTGAAGAACTAGTTGTTTGTAAAGACCAAGGACCTTCAAAAGCTTCTGTTTTATGTCCGGGACACAACATTGGTCTGTTCTGGTTGTGTATTATATGAATTTTGTTAATAATCCATTAGTAGAGCATGCAAATGCTGAACTGTGACTACATCATGATTTTAAAAACAGTTGTGTTGCTTTGTGTAATTAAACGTGTAAAGTTTGGTCACATGTACTTAAGTTTAAATACGTATTTGACCTGTCGTATGTCACTGGCACTTCCTATCAGATGAAAATTTTGTAGCCTTGTTCAAGTTCAAGTCAATTTTATTGTCCCTATCATCTCATGTGGTACATGAGGTGGAACAAAATTATGTACACGGGGTCCCAGTTACACCTAAAAATAGCAAAATATAAAGTTTAAAAAGAAACTGTAAACAAGGATCTAAGATATACACTAAACACTAATAATGTAAAACAATACAGCGTAACAACAGCAGCCCGAACATGAGTCTGTGGTGAGCAGATGGGTAAGAATGAATATAGCCATGAATGAATACATTCATATCTGTGTCCAGATTATTCCAGATTATCTTTCACTGCAGTTGGATTAGGCAGACAGTAATGCTTTTGGCAATGTCAAAATGGCTGATTTATTGCCAGTTTTATTTTCTCTAAGGTCAGTTGGATCTAGTTGCCATTTTGAATATGAACAAAAAAAGGGGTAAATCATGTTTTGATTGAGCTTAAAAACCTTAATCTTGAATAGGGTTGGCGCCCAAAGCTTCCAAAATAAAACGCCATGCTTGAAAAAACACCATGCTTCACTCTCCCATGCAGAAAACCACATGCTTGAGTCACATGACTGATCTACATTAGACTGGTCATAATCTGTTGGTAAACGAATATGGCGGAATCAGATGAGCGTAGACTGGAAGAACACATTTAGATGGGAATTGTGGAGTGAATCTGCTGCTAAACTCTGAAGAAAAGAGATCAAGTGAGAACATTGTCAAGAATAAATATCAGGGATCAAGCAGGGTGATGGAGCACCATAAAGACAGAACTCACAACTGACTTTTTTATGTAGTAAAGGTTTATATACAACATAAAGTGGCTGCCCCAGTTTACCTTTTAAATTCTCTGCAGCTGGACCAAAGCTCCAGATCTCTCCTGTTATTGCCCTTCTCTGTTTGAAAGCACAAACAACAAAAATGCAGATGGGTATTTTTTTATTTGTCAGTCAGGGAAACGCAACAAAAAAAGTTCGGGCACAATTCCTTAATTATTTTCCCTTTTGACACCAGCAGTTTTACACTGGTTGTTTTCCTTCTTGCATGTTATACATACACACACACACACACACACGCGCACACACACACACGCACACACACACACGCACACATACACACACCATAGACTGTATGTGTCTGTGTGTATATAAAATATCCACAAGAAAGTGCTGTATTATTTTTATATGCCCGTTGAAAGGCAACATGTACATAAACCTTCTCTTGTCCTGCTCATAACTTCTGATCAACTCAAGATATTTTAACAAAACTTGAAGTTGTTACCCTTATGCATCGCTAGACGAAGTGCCGTTACACTTTTCACCACCCCTGCTTCAAGGTCGCAATCGAGGTTAAATTTTAAATAATGTCTTTGCTTGTCCAGACCATTGCTATAGATTGCTGTATAATGGTTTGTCGTCTGGTGTATTATGTACAGTTTGTGGTACTCTTGTTTTCATTGAGGTGACTGTCACAAATAGTGGCGGGTGGGGTGATGTTGAGGAGAAATGTAGAATACCAGCACTTTTATAAATTTATAGTACCAGCACTAGTACGATCTGTACAATAGGTCATGTGGATGAGTTGAACTGGTGCAGGTATTGTCTTTTTTTCTTCTAGATTTATTAATTCACTCACTGAGGAAAAAAATCAATACATTTTATCTAAACCCAGTGATGTTTGTTGTCTTTACAGAAGGCACCAAAGTCCAATCAGCCAGTAAGAATGGGAAGAGGACGGAATCTGGGTCCAGCAGCAGTTTCTTCACTTGGTTCATCGTGCTGGCCCTGCTGGGGGTCTGGACTTCTGTTGCCATGGTCTACTTTGACTTAGTGGACTATCAGGGGGTTCTTGGTGGGTATTAGTTAGAACACAATACACAAACACACGGGGGAATACATTAACTTAAAATGCCTGTGACATCAAATTTTTATAATGGATCTGAATGCCTTTTTGGAATGATAACATTAAAAATGTATTGCAAAAATAATAAGAATTGCAAAAAATCAACTTTTGCTGAGATGAACAGTTGACATCTTCAAATGCACAGTAACAGGAAGTGCTAAAACAGGAAGTGCTAAAAGGCTAACGACACAGATGGTAGAGAAGAATCTCATGTTTCTGTAGATTATTTTCAGTCACTATCAGAGAAAGATGAAGAGTCAAGAGTTCAAATAATATTGTTTCAATAACAGGGAGTTCCTGTTTTTAAAGAGTTCCCCTATGATGTCACTCCCTGTTTCACTGTGGCTGCACCAAGTTCATAGAAAATATGCCGGTTAAATGACCATATATTAGTAAAGTGTGTATTACATCAAATTTATTAAAAATTAAGACGTTTTCTTCTACTTTTTGTATTTGAGGATAAGCATGTTACAGGCACTTTAAAGAACAGCTGATGGGTGATTCTGACTCGTGCCACTGGAAATGTGTGGCAGTTTCTGCAGAGTAAATGTCAACCCATCACTTAAACTACTTGGGTATCTTAAAGCACCATAACCAAGCAGCAGTTAGCCAGACAGATGAAGTAAATACAAAACCCATTCACCTTTAAATTAGATTTGTCAGAGCAGCTGTAAAAACCCCCCCACTTTTTTATTGCTTCCTGAAAGTCTCAGAAACTACATGATGGGTTTACATAATCTGTTGTGACAACAGCTGGTTGGATAGATCCCACTTGCACACCAACTCAGTTCTATAACTACTTTTATCACATGGGAGGATTGTTCACTGTTTTACTCATTTGCATATTTTAAATCTTCATCTGATTTAAATTCAGTTTCTTGGCAGATAAGGAAAAAATGAAAAAGTAGAGGGGAAAAAGTGTTTCTAGACACTGTTACCTGTTGCTCTTTATAAAACTAAAAATCAGTATTCGGAGTTGCTAAAAAAGTATTTCACACAGTTTGTATATAAAAATTACTAGTCATTATTAGAGCCTGACAGATTGGAAATTTTGGCTATCACCTATACCAATATTGGGTGGGGGAGGCAACCACCGATAACTGATATAATGGCTAAAAATATTTGAGTTTTGTAAACCCCCAAGAGTCTAAGTAAACAGCGAGTGGAGCGGGGCTTGTTTATTTAGAGCAGCTGTTAGCAACCATGAAGCTAAGCTAATCAGATCCACGCTATATGTACTCCCACACTAGGTTTTCAAGAGGTGCAATGGTCATAAAAACAATCTTCCTAATGTGCGTTCACATTTTCTATCCTCCACTATTCACCATCAAGTTATCAAGGATGTTACAAAAATATGAATTAAACCAAGAAACACCCTCCCCTATTCATAATTTAAGCAGTCACGTATGTTGAAGGCCTAATTAGTATCGACTGCAGCAGTGTTTTTTTTTGTAGAGAAATAAAGATTTCTGACAAACTATGCATTTCATTGAGGACGACAAAGATAATGCTACTAACACTGAAATTTACTGCTACATTAGATTTATTGTTCTGGATAAATTTTTACAAGGCAATAGCCTATGCTAGGTTATCTAAATGTTAGCTTGCTAACTTGAGAGGCACTTGGCTAATGACAAGCGAGTTGGAGTGTTGAAGAAAAATTGTTATTGTTGATTTTATATGTACAGATCACTTACAATTAACTTACCATACTCTTTTCAGCAAAATACGCTGCACAGTATTGCTCCCTGCTTCCGCTGTGCTGAAAGTGCAACTTAAGTGAATGGCTATGACTTGAAAGTAGTCTGTATGCGCCCTGTGCTGAATAGATTGTACAATTACGGCTGTTTCCCAGCATTTTAGCAGTGAAAATTAGAAGTGCTTAAATCGGTGCATAATGGGACAATTAGCAGTGATGCCGATAGGTAGGTCCCCAAACGTCTATTGGTCTAAAGTATCGGGTCAGGCTGTACTCATTATGCTATCTACTTTTTGATTATTTACTTGTGGGTTTTCAAACTTTCTGTATATAAAATAGGGACTAAAGATCATTCTTTGTTGTGAGAGAATGTCATTAATGAAAAATGCAAGAACATTAATCACTTAGACTTGTTTCTGAAAACAAAATGACAACAAAAAATTCCCTGGTTTGTATGTTTAAGTTGATTTAAAATGTGTAAGAAAAACAACTTTTTGCATGGACAGCTTTATTTTGATCCTGAGGTTACATTGATCCACACATAAAACTGAAAACATTTCAAAACGAATAATAATTGATATCAGACATAAACTTCATCTGGCTGAGCATGACTGTTTCACCTTTGAGTGTTGTTGCACTAATCTGAGCTGTAATAACCAATGATACATTCTTGCCTCTGTAGTATGTATCTTTAATAACTTGGGCTGAACGAGTATATGCACTTGTTTTTATTCTTGCTTTTTTCCAATGTGTATGTTTTGTGTTTTGCATGCAGATAAGGCTAAAGACATACAGATTAACCTGTCTGAGACATTACAAGGTAAAATATCTCTTGGTTTTGTTTATCAGTGTTTTTGAGACCTCCCCTTTCTCTCATGTTTCACGACCCAAACCTAGACTTTATAGGATGATCCTGTTGAGTGACTCCTTGTCTGACTTGCATGTCTGACCCACTGGGCTGTAGGTTGCACTTCCATGCAGAACAATTGTTAATCCTGAGCTTCATCCACACATTAAGATCTCTTCAAATCCTTCAAAAACTTTGCACTCTGAAATCTTCTTCATACTTGCTCTGTCTCTTTATACTTTCTTGTCTCCTGATTTGCCTCTTTTGTCTTTTCATGTCTCCTTATACATGCTTGTTGCCTGTTTTTTGTCCCCTTTTGTTTGTCTCATTATGTCCTTTTTGTATCCTATTGTTTGTCTCTGACATCTCCATACATTCTTTTTGTCATTTTCTTTATTGGCATCTTTTTTGTCTGCTTATGCATACTTGTTACCCCTTTATGTGCTATTTTTGCCTTTTTTTAAAAAAAATATGTCTTTTGTTGTTTTGTCTCTATGCATCTTTTTAGCCTCGTTATGTCCTTTGTCTTTTCTTTGCACGTCTGTTTTTTTTATTTACATTTTCTTAGTCACTCTTTTTTTTCTACTTATCCGTCCTTTTTTTGTATCCTTTTGCAAACATTTTGCGTTTTCCTCATGCATGCATTTATCTTATCTTTTGCATTCTTGTTTTTCCTTATTATTTTTTGTTTGTTGCCTGCCTTGCTCCTTTGTCTGTTGCTGTTCTTTTTTAATATTTCAGTTAACATTACAAGTTCAGCTATTATTCACATCCCTTTCATGTAATAAAGCAAATTTCAGCAGTCATCCATCACTCAACATACAAGCTATGTTTTAACAGGAAGAAAGGTCTACGGTAGTTTTGTTCTCTTAATGTTCTGAGAAAAAATTGGAGCATTACATTAAATGTTTCTGTCTAGGTAAAAAGAAAAATGTCTGATTAACTTGTTTATGCCAAATGAAGCAGATAGTGCTTTTTTATTTATTTAGACCCTGTGAGATCAGAACCCTGAGTCTGTTTTCCTTCCTTCTTTAGGCAAACTCGTGGCCTACGATACAGATGGCGATGGAGATTTTGATGTGGAAGACGCTAAAATACTGCTAGGCAAGTGGATTTTAATCACATTTATAAATTGTTACGGTTTGTTTTCCTGTTCATAAATGGAAGAAAAAGTCCAACTAATACTAGAACACCGACACTTTCTGCATGTGCTTTGAGCACAAAATACAGATTTGTTTTTTTGTTGTTTGACCATCAATCAGAACATTCACTTTTTACCTTGGTGAGAATTGGTTCTGTGAAAACAAGCAAAAAGCTGAATGTTTAAAGCTTTACCTTTTGGTCAAGATTGAGTTTCCTTTTTGTGTGCACAACAAAATCAACAAAAGAACTTAGCAGGTCCTAATGCTCAATTCCAAATTTTTATTATTATTATTATTATTTTTTTCAGATCTAATTTATTTTTGTGGTCATTCACATTATAACTTGTCGTAAATGTGACATGTGAACATGTGTCTGTGCCATCAGACTCCAGTGTTTAGCTGAAGACATGCGGAGTTCTTAGATTTAAACTTCTTTGAGGTTGGTCTCAGTATTGTTAGAACTTGGATCAATCTGCATTCCCCTACCTCCGTGACGTAAAAGTGGAATAAAATGCAACATAACCGTTCAGACTGCGGTTGCTTGGAAAACATCAGATTTTAGTGCCACCTATGAAAAAGATATGAATTAGGAAAAAAAAATAATTAATTACAATCAGACTGACATGAAAAATGCAATACAAGTAAAAATATTGAACTTGTGATGTATTTGCCTGCAGTGTAAACATAGCCTTAGTTTTATTATCCAATGGAATTACAATGGGGAGTGGTGGCACAGAGGTTAGAGAAGGTGGGCCTGTGATCGGAAGGTCGCCGGCTCAACTCCCCGGACTGACATCAAAATGTGGGTGGAACAGGTGAAACATCCACACCTGCCTCCACCCTCATTTGCCCCACTCTGGACCCTTGAGCAAGGCCCTTAACGCCCACCATGTGCTCCCAAACAGGTCTCTATTGAAAATGAGTCCTTGTGACTCAGTGAGACTACCTGTATAAATAAAGGTTAAATAAAAAATAAAATGAAAATATCTCTGTACTCGCATGTCTGTATTGCCTATGACTGAAGGATGAAAGATGGGCAGTAAACTGTTTTTAATTGTTTTAATTCAGTGATTATAAATGGTTTCCTTTTTTAAAACAAACAGCTAACATTCAATGTATATCCACAACTATCCCTAATAGACTAGTGAAAAATACCCACACAATGAAAGGAAACCAACATGCTCAGTTGTCAGAAAATTACAAAGTAACTGCCATTAAAGAGCAAGTAAATATAAAGTAACAAATGCATACACATACGTAGATGCATGCATGCATGCTGACATACACACAGCCCCCCCCCCCCCCCCCCACACACACACACACGTACCGAGTGACTGACAGTGTCATGTTGACATTGTGCAGTTTCAAGCACTTCGGTATCTGTGTGTGGCACTGAGTCATGTATTTTTATTTTTTTTGTAGTCTATTCCGGCGGTGCACAGGTTTGTGTGTCTAGTCTTACAGTCTCAAGCTTCAGCTCTGTTCATTAGTAGCTGGTGCTTGGGCCCCCTGGTGTTGGTGCCAGTTCACTTCTGTGCCTCACTCAGGTATTGATCCATGCACCTATTAATCTTAGCTGCTCTGATGTCTGACTGGAGCGTTCATTTTGTACAGAGGCAGGTGATTGGCCAATAGCTGGACAGAATGACCCATTTCTGGGGTCTTTTATTTACAATACTGCCTGTCGTTGGGTCAGCCATTCTGGGTGGGTCCTTTCTTTAAGTAGCTGGTTCTTTTGAGCTACTAGGCATTCATGGAGAGCAGTCGGTTTCTTTAGCTGGTCGGTATGGATCATGTCAGGTCCTGGTGCAGTCCAGGTTTTCATATCCGAGACTCTCTTGGATGTCTACCACTGCAATGGATACTGGTTCTTGTTTTGACAGTGGTTGTGTTCAGCTCTGGGTTCTTGTAGCAAATGGGGCATTATCATTGTGTGATGAGTACTTGTCTCATGTTCTTCTCCAATATTTGTGTAGCCAGAGCTGTGAAGTGGTGTTTTTAAGAGCCTCGAGTTTGGTCAAGTTGATGTATTTTCATGCTGGGTCTTTCTTCATGGCATCTTTTCTATTGTTTTGACAGGTGGCTAAATTCTGTTGCCTTGTGTTGCCTTGATCATAGTTTCTAGCCCCTTCCTCCATGGGGGACAATCTGTTTTTGTTGTAGTCAAGCATTTCAACGAATACTGTTGCTGTCAAGTATACCAGCCTTTTGGTTTTTCATCCATTCCTTATGACCAGTGGTGGGCACAGTTCTGCTAATCCACTAATAGCGGAACAAATTTTTTGTTGAGCAGATTAGGGTTTTCACTAACTTTGGAAATGTTAACGGAATTAGCTTCTGCAAAACTAGGATTTGACATCTTTGCCTAACAAAATTAGTAAATAAAAAAGCTTATTGAAGCTAACTTTTTGGTTAGCTGTGCCCACCACTGCTTATGATTATAGCTGAGAGTTGGAACGTAGATGGACCAGTAAATTGAGCTTTGTCTCAACTTATTATTCACCATGACAGACAAAAGCAGTGCCCTTATTTAGGGATGCACCGATCCACTTTTGTTAACTTCCGATGCCGATACCTAAGTCTGAATATCGGCCGATACCGATCCAGTTCCGATATCATGATCATCATTGATTTTATTTGAGGCTGTAATAATCTCCTCTCAAGTACAATTTATACAAATATATGCATGCATGTCCAAAAAGGCAACTTGAGGTAAGTTGTATTAATTTTGGATGTTTTAAAGTTAGAATTAAATTCTGCTAACACAAAACATGTTTCTTTTTATTCCTAGCTTTAAAGTGGATATTAAAGTTATTAATTTTAAGTGATTGTTTAAAGTTATTTTATATATATTTTTTTAATAAGGGGCAGATATAATATTTTTTTTCTTCTTTCTGCACTCTTTTCATTCAATGTTTTCTTTTTCATGATTTTTTAAATTTTTTTATTTTGTTTCTTTTAAATGAATGAATTAAATAAAATAAATTGTTAAATGGCTTCAAACACCTGCTAATTTCATGGCATAAACCAACAGACATGTTCCCATTTTTAGTATTTTACATTGCTTTATAATGTAGCTGTTTTTGTTTTTAATATAATTTTCAAATCATATGTTTTTTATGATTGTCTACTGTTGTACTGATAAATATCTCCTGGAGGGTAAACTATATCTTGACTGCAAGTATCAAGCTGTGAAATCCTTTGTTTTCTACAACTGATAGTGGTTGGTCATTAATTATGAAGTTTAGCAACTTCTCTGTAAACATTTGAGCTCCGTGGTTTCAGCGACGTCTTCTTCTTGTTCAATCTGAAGCAGGCAGCCTGATTTGGGGCAGCCGCGCTCAGTCTGTCCCTCCTCAGAGACGGGCAGACTGAGTGGGGCAGATTGGACACGGCTGGCCGGGGTCGAGTCACCTCTTTCCGGTTGAGCAAAGAGCAGCGCCCCACTGAAGCCACGGAGCTTGAATGTCCAACGTAAAACTAACTTTACCGCGGTTTAATGTGGTGCTATGGCTCTGTAGACATTGCACGTTGCTGTCTTACTTTGTGGTGTTTCTAGTGTAAAATACTTCCACACAGCGGACATGTTTAGATGAAAAGTTTGTTAGCTGTTAGCCACAGTGCTGCTAACTCAGTCCTGTAGCTGGCTGCAAACTGAACTGGATTTCCTGAATGTGAGGCGGGTCTTATTACTCTGGGTTCATGAGACACGCCGCAGTTCAGGAAATCCATTCCGTAGTTTGAAGCCAACTTGCATCATGGATCGGAAATATCGGCAGGTGGATCGGAAAAATCTGATACGTAAATTATGCTGGTATCGGAGGCCGATACTCGATCGGATCGGCCCCATCCCTACCCTTATTACAGTGGATATGACCCTGATCTGTCGATCCAACTCCTGCTCCATCCCATCATCACTCGGGACGAGTCTCTGCCTCAAGCAGAGGAGTTTCAATTGTTATTTTGTTTATATCTTTTATCAAATCACTTCTGTTGAAAGTGCTAGATTTTAGAGCTGATTCACTAACTGTTGTGAAAGGTGGTGACACTTTGTCACTGCCATTCACTTTGAAATATCTTCACACAGTTGCTTCTTTTTTCTTCTTAGGTTTATTGGTGGGTAACAAACAATTTTATGGTGCGCCGCTGCCACCAACTGAAATGTGGATCAGGATAGCCATATATAAATAAATAAAACTACTTCCACATTGCTGACTTTGCTTCTCTACAACTGAGAGGTGAATGTGACTGCAATAAAGCGTTATCGGAACTGTAGTACAAGTACATGGAATTGGAACTAGTAAAAAATACTTGTACAGGTATATTGAATCTCTTGTTTAGAGACAACGTTGACAAATTCTTATCTAGAAGATGTGTGTCCAGATGATGTGGTGGTCTTCCATTACTAAATTTCTGGAAATGAATGTTCATGAATACCAAAGCATTGACTTAGACCTAAATAAAGTCATATTGACAGTCTGAAGTGACAAAAGCAGCTTACTATAAAATAACTCTACAGGTACAATGAGTATGTGAGGGGGGAAACTAGTATTGCCTCTTATCTTTTAAAAAGGGCCAGGCCTGCACATCATTAAATTAAAGTTTTTCATAAAGCCTACTTTGGCCTACCTTGACTGTATTTTTGATTTGAAACCATGTTGCCCTGATGTTCATTGGTTGTCACGTCTTGCCCTCCCCTGGTTTGACATGAAACGAACAGTAGGCTCGATCTTTTCTGAGTTTCTCCTCAAGCCTCAACAAATTTTCAAAAAATCCAGCAATATGGAGAGGTCTGTAATTTTTATCATAGGTACACTTTAACTGTGAGAGACAGAATCTAGGAAGAACAAATCCAGAAAATCACATTGCATGATTTTTATCATTCATTTGCATTTTTTTGACGCTAAACAAAACAAAACAAAAATTCAAAAATACTTTATTAATCCCAAAGGGAAATTATTT